GATACAAGCATTAGACTATTAAAACATTTTATTTTTCCACACTAAATTTTAATTTATGTATTAATTTTGTCACTAAACTTTAAAACACTTTATTTTTATCATTAAACTTTAGTGCGGATTGTAAGGTATTATCGAATTCTCATCTACAACAATGTGTGTTAGTGCCCACAATATCAATATACATGATCAAATTCATGATTAATTTCAGTAATAACTCTAACTTTTAAATTGTTTCCAATCTCAAGAAATATTTGGGAGATGAAAATCTTTAATTTCATTAAGACAATAACAATTAATCATAACATCATTTCTTTATTTGAAATAGTTTTCAAGTTACCAATTGACGGACTACACCTTTATAAATATATATATAATAAAGCAAGAAACCTAGTCTAACTACAAGTTTATTTTCCGATACAATCTGTTGGGGCAAAAGAGACGGTCATGTTTTGCAGATCATATTCCACCTGAAAATTTACTTTTGCATAGCTTCCAAAGACGGGGGTTAGCATTGGTCGGAACTATCACCATACAAACCAACCAAGTCACCGTTAACTTGAAATGTGTTGATAGGTCGTAACCGAACGTCGGCACCGGTGAAATGGAACACCATTTCCAGAACACTGATGTTAGTTCCAGCCCCATAACACAAGTTAAATGTACCTGAAGGGTCTTGCACTGGCTTTTCTACAGTGGCATCTTTCACCATAGCCTCTACATTGTTATATGTAATTGCAGAAGCAACCAAGACATTCCCTTGGCTTGAAGATGGCCACGCGTCTTGTTTCCGACAGTAACACCTTCGAGAGTAAGGTAGTAGAACGTTTGAGGGTTTTGGGCACAAGAGGAGTTGAAACAGCACTAGGACGAGAAGTTACTGATTCTTGTCCGAAGATTAGTTTACCACTAGATTTTGCAGAATGTAGAACGAAACAATCTGAGAATCTGTAATTAATTTGAGTTCCTTTCTGAGAAACTAGTGAAAAAGGCCCTCCTCCCAGGCCAACAATTCCGGCAAAGCCGATGTGTCCGAAGTTAACTTGATTATTACGTCCACAACCAAATATAGACATGGGGAATGCGATGTTTTCACCATTTTCGGAATCGATACTCAAGGTATCGGAACTCAGGATTCCTAGGGTACTTGACCCTTCCGGATACGTAATATTGTATTGACAATCATTGGTCTTGAAGCATTGTACTCCACTCAAAGCTTGACAAATCTGTGAATCACAACGAAACGCTTCGTAAGTAGAAGACGCTTGGGGATCGAAAAGAGAAGAGCCTTGAGAGTAACATTGAGTACACGGAATTCATTGTATCCAAGTAAGCCAGTTGTTGTGTCTACAATAGCAAAGTATTGAACAAGTGGGGTTCCAAAGGAAAGGTTTATCAGATAAAAGCCCTGATCACTTGGAACATCGACGGACTTGGCGAAGTTGTCCTTAATCGAAGACTGTAAGTGTTCGATTTGGTGCATCGAATGAATGGCAGTTTTTCGTAGGATCTCCGAGGAGACGAGAGAATCATTATAAAAGGGAGATAATGGTGAATGGCGATGAACAAGATCAACAGTGAAACCATATTGTGCATTCGCTTTAACCATTTCAAACATCAGGATAGATGAAATGGCAGTGAGCAAAAGAAGCAGTCGATGATGCATCTTGCTACAAAATGAATGACTGCTCTATGTATATACCACTTTGCATATGCTACTACTTATACTGGGATTTTAAACTGGTCCACAAAGTTCTACTGTTATCAATGAAGAAATTAATGAATTCCAATTGTATGAACCTTTATACAGAACAAATAGCGGGGTGCCACCTTGTTTGTTAATCTTTTCATTATGAAAATGGATAATCATGTGAAAGGAAAACATAATTCATACTAAAAATTCATATTAAACATTCGACTTAAAATCCATTGATAATGAATAAATGGTCAGCTTAAGCAAAAGGCCACAAATAATTTAAAATTGAGAAAATCGCCTCAGAGACCAAAAATACCTTATAATATACGATTTTAACCAACTTTTTTTGGATTTGCCAAAATGACCAATAAAATCGCAACGCGATATCAAAATCGCAACGCGATTTAGAAAATCGCAACGTTAAAAAGAAAATCGCAACGGTCAAAAGAAAATCGCAACGCGAGCTTCCAAGTTCGCAACGCGATTTAGAAGAAAATCGCAATGCGATTGATTGAATCGCAACGCGATTTATAGAATCGCAATGCGATTGAGAGAGTCGCAACGCGATTTAGAAGAAAATCGCAATGCGACTGAGAGAATCGCAATGCGACTGAGAGAATCGCAATGCGATTGATTGAATCGCAATGCGATTTATAGAATCGCAATGCGATTGAGAGAGTCGCAACGCGATTTAGAAGAAAATCGCAATGCGACTGAGAGAATCGCAATGCGACTGAGAGAATCGCAATGCGATGTATAGAATCGCAATGCGACCGAGAGAATCGCAACGTTAAAAAGAAAATCGCAACGGTCAAAAGAATAGTTAAAAAAAATTTGTTTCTTAAGAATTTTCTCTAAAAAGATAGTATCCGCGCGGACGTGTCGAAGACACGTATTACCACGACCACGACCCGACCCGAGACGAGACGGCGGCGGCGGCGCGCGAGAGTCCCCCTTGTCCTCTTTCACTCAACAAGGAAGTGCAAAATACAAGCCTTAAATATAATTCCCAATAGTGTTTCCAATACTATGTGGGATTGAGCATTACCAACACTTGTTCCCAATATCATTATTCTTCATAAGTTATCATCCATTACAATATGAATTATCGATAATAGATTAATTCATTTTAATAAGTATTTAAAATTATAACTTGATAAATACATGAAATAATTCTATTATTAAATAAAAAATATATTTTTTATATTAAAATTATTGAGATAGATATTTACTATAAAAGTAAAAGATTTTTTTTTCACGTACAACCTCTATGTGAATTAGTTTCACAATAAGGTATCGGTTATGCATTGGATTCTTTCGTATTAGATGGTCTTTAATAAGATCATCATCATCATTCTTTTGTTCAACAATACCATATATTAATGAGGTATATTGGTTCATTAACACGACTAATTCATATTGTAATGGATGATAACTTATGAAGAATAATGATATTTGGAACAAGTGTTGGTAATGCTCAATCCCACATAGTATTGGAAATACTATTGGGAATGGTATTTAAGGCTTGTATTTTGCACTTCCTTGTTGAGTGAAAGAGGACAAGGGGGACTCTCGCGCGCCGCCGCCGCCGCCGTCTCGTCTCGGGTCGTGGTCGTGGTCGTGGTCGTGGTCGTGGTCGTGGTCGTGGTCGTGGTCGTGGTCGTGGTCGTGGTCGTGGTCGTGGTCGTGGTCGTGGTCGTGGTCGTGGTCGTGGTCGTGGTCGTGGTAATACGTGTCTTCGACACGTCCGCGCGGATACTATTTTTTTAGAGAAAATTTTTTTCAACGCGATTTTCTTTTTAACGTTGCGATTCTATAAATCGCATTGCGATTCTCTCAGTCGCATTGCGATTTTCTTCTAAATCGCGTTGCGACTCTCTCAATCGCGTTGCGACTCTCTCAATCGCATTGCGATTCAATCAATCGCATTGCGATTCAATCAATCGCATTGCGATTTTCTTCTAAATCGCGTTGCGAACTTGGAAGCTCGCGTTGCGATTTTCTTTTGACCGTTGCGATTTTCTTTTTAACGTTGCGATTTTCTAAATCGCGTTGCGATTTTGATATCGCGTTGCGATTTTATTGGTCATTTTGGCAAATCCAAAAAAAGTTGGTTAAAATCGTATATTATAAGGTATTTTTGGTCTCTGAGGCGATTTTCTCTTTAAAATTTACCCCCAAATTCATTAAGAAAGAGTGTGTTCTTATTGTTAAAGAAAATGTATTGGCTTACTTTGTGTGAACAGCGGAGCTGACTCAAGGGATTTGGTGGTTTATTTAAAAAAAAAGTATATTTTAAGCTCTTTTCTATTGTTACTAGGGATGAGTATTTGATCGAGTCGAGTCAAATCATAAAATTTTGAGTTATTCGAGTTGATGAGTTCTATTTTACAACTTAAACTTTATTTGAAGTTTTTTCGGATCGAATTATTCGAGTTTCTGTTTAAATTTAATTATAAATATTTATAATATTGTGGTACTATTTGATTCCAATTTTAATAATTTTCTATAACTATATACAACACATATATATTTCTTCATATTTTTTCACATGTGATATACATATATCATTTAAAGTTGAGGAACTCGACCCAAACTTGAAAACCAATATATTAATTACTAAAAATTTTGAGTTATTATTTGAGTTCCATTTTATAACTTGACTCGAATTTAAATTTTTTTAAATTCGAGACGAGTTTCTCACCCATAATTGTTACAACATATATTAATTTTTTATAAAATATTTAAATATAAATTAATAAAATATTTATGCCAAAATAGCTTTGAGTGTAAATTATGAATACCAAAAAAGTATGGATTATAATTTAATAAAGATAAATTACATCAAAATATGTAAAATATAAAATTAAGTGAAATTTGAATACCCAAAAGAAAAACAATAAAAAAACATAAAAGTATGGATTATAATTTATAAAAAAATAATTCATACAAAATGGATAGTCAAATAAAAATATCGATGTAAAAGCATGGAAAGTGAGGGTGGTAAATGCTGGCATTACCTAATCCATGGAGGAAGGGTGTGTTATTATTGTTCCCTTTCTGTTAAGGAATGCATTAACGGCTTCAATTGTGTCCCCTTGTCAATGCATTTCAGGAGTAGGCCTTCATAAGTGTAGATCCAAATCCAATGCAAGCCTAACCCAAGGATAAGGTAAAAAAATCTGAACAAGTGACAAGGTTAGGGAAAAGGTGCTAAATATCTTCAAAAATTATTTCGCTATTATTGAAGAATGGCCTTTTTCATTTGATAACGAACGACCCTTTGTTGTGTCTTTCTTTACCATTTTGTTGATCAACAAATTCTTGAGTTCTTAACACAAAAACCATTTTTTTATTGTTAAACTCTTATGGCTCTCTCCGCTGCTGCTTCTCTATCATTTCGCCAAACTTTGCCACACTTCCTCGCTTACCACCCATTTCCTCTCTCACACTCTCATCCAATTTCCTTTCTTTCCTTCCAAACACCGCATCCGCCACACAAAAGCATCCATTACCACCCACCAAGAGCTCTGAGGGAATGGCAAGAATACGAGGAAGCAGTGAAGAAGAAGGACTTAGCTACTGCTCTAAGGTTCCTCATATCCATTGAAAAAGACAACAACGACAACCCTGTTGAGGAAAATCGCCCCTTATCCACTCGGTCACGACTCGGCGATTTGGATTTTCTCGGTGGGTCGGTGAGGGATTGGGAGGTCTTGGACACGTGCCTCAATGCTGACGACATGAGACTTGTTGGCACTGCTTATGAGTTCCTTAAGGTCAAAGGTCTTTTACCCAATTTTGGAAGATTCAGTAGCATCGGTAAATAAATTACTTTCTATATTCATGCTAAATTATTAGTATTATGTTTGATTTTTAGTAACTTCTGGAAGCTGAATTGATTTCTTGATTTCTAAATTTTGTTCAATCCATTTGATAATATGATTAAAAGAAAACGATTTTATACATTTGATAATTTAGTGTTACATGTTCTCTTATTGATATATGGTCCATTGTGTATGAATGAACAATAAATTAAACAAATTAGATGGTTTCAATGTTTATTAACAGTGAAAAGCAAGTTTTACCATCTTATATTTGTTGGTTTGGTTTTCAATTCATTTGCTTGGTTCGTTGTTTCTAAAGAGCCTGCTTTATACCTGGATTCTAAATACTGATATACTTTATAACTGTCATTAATTGCTACTACTGATCAGCTGCACTAGTATTTTACAACTTTTTGGCTTATCTTATTTTCTTACTGCAAGTCTGTTGGCCTTTCCAGCTAGCACTTATTTGCATGATAAACAATCAAACATGCAATCTTAATGATGTTATTTTTGTCTGAGATTTTGATGTGTTCGTAATAATGTCATATGTTTCTTAGTTTTTGGAAAGAATACACCAGTTATCATCATTCTTTGCAATAATACTCTAATGAAATGTCCTTACCGATAATATCGGAGCAATTTTATTCCAACTATTTTCTTGAGTGACTATGAGTAGCGATGCTCTCATGAGGAGATTCCCCACCCCCAACATATTTATTTGTTATTAACTTAAATTATATTTCTAAATAACTAAGATGGCCCATAAATAATTTCCCACATTCTGCAGTTGTGGAGGGGACTAGGGATGTTACACCTGCTATGTTGAAGTCTTCTACTGGCCTAGAAGGTATATATCTATATTAATTTCCTGAGGTGGTCTAATATGTTCTATCTGATGTCAAGTAATTTTGACTTGAGGTGATGAACTTTTCCACCTCATATACAGCTTCTAAACTTTCTCCAAAGAAGTGGGGTCTTTCTGGAAGCTCAAGTGTTGTATTGGCTGGTTTACTTGGTGGGGTGTCCTATCTACTCCAACAAGGAATTGATATCAGGCCTCAACTTGCAATTATACTGGGGCTAGCCTTCACAGACTCTACCCTCCTTGGTGGTACCTGTTTAGCTCAAATCTCGAGTTATTGGCCTCCATATAGGCGTCGGATTCTAGTTCATGAAGCAGGGCATCTATTAGTAGGTATGTGATCAATTGTTTCCTTTTCATGTCAAAGCAACTTGTGCATACAAAACAAAACATTGAATGTCAGCCTTTACATTTGAAGTCTTTATGCCTATTTCATCACTAGATGTCCTTTTTCTTATATTTAGCACCTGCCGTGATTTCATCTATTTCTACAATACTGTTCTTTGTATTTGTTTTCTGTTGCTAGAAGCATAATTGATTCTGTTAGTTTATTCACAGCTTATCTTATGGGTTGTCCTATTCGTGGAGTGATTTTAGACCCAATAGTTGCAATGCAAATGGGCATTCAAGGGCAGGTATTTAAGTTATCATTTGTTGTTTCCGTGGACCTTTTCTTCTCTATGCTATCGGGTGCTGTCTTCTTTAATGTGATGTGATCAATTTCACTAACCTTGAGACTGTTTATCAAGATGAATATTAAAATAAGGGCTGCAGTGTTGCATGAGTTAATATTAGTATTAGGGATATCCTTTTTTTTTGTATCTGAGCAAACGATTCGGTGTTTTTTCATTTATTTTTCTGTGTCAAATACAATGTTGTCAAGAGTGCAATATGTATGTGTGTGATTTTTGGTAATATATATAGGTTAAGATATATAATAAACTCTAAAGTGGAGTCTAGTTTATATACAAAACATGAAACTTTTTTATTAGTCAATATGCACGATTTCCTTGTGGTTAATGCTTGTTGAAGGGTGGTAACCATGAGGTGGCAGTATGCCAATTTCTTTCGCACTAGGCCTCTGCCTGGTAGTCTGATGCAAGAAAAAAAGCATTCGACATTCATTCAGGTGGGCATTTTATGCCTACCGTCTTACTAAAAGTGTGCCTAGGTGCACCAGGTGTGTGACTGATCAAATGGGCCTGGCCTCAAGGGTCCGAGGCACTTTTGTTGAATAATGCTAAGGCACAGGCACGCTTAGGCTCAAACCTTGACAATACCGGTCAGATCAAGAGGCATGTGTCAAAGGAACAAGTTGCTTTACATTTATATGTTATACAGAGAATATGTTGATCATTTTTGTTGGGATTCTAAATCAAGTTTGAATTTCTTAGTTTTAATATCTCAAAATCCTCTCATTTCAACTTGTCTTTTATGTTACCTTGAATTATGTATTATTTATCACACCTGAAAAAATAAAACTAAAAACCCTATTGCTAGGGTGGTCGAGGATGCCTGAGTTGTGAGTTGGTCATGGTCTTGTCGCCGGATGATTTTTACATGAAATGCAGCTGGAGGCTAGTAGCCTTCCTGAATTAAACATGATGTTTTCTGTAAAGCATAACATTTTATTTACCCTTTCACGAGGCAATGGCTCCTGATAATGTATTGCTATTGTAGTCCCTCTTGTCTGTCTTTGAGATGATGTTTTGAGGAATTTGATTAGTTTGGACCAATATATGACAGTGTTACTTAAATGATCTCGAATTCTGCTCATCTTTACAGGCTGGAACTCAGTTTTGGGATGAAAAAATGAATAATGAAATGGCAGGAGGACTATTGAGTGGTTCCACCTTTGACAGGTTGGTAGGACAAGTTGGTTCCCGTTAATCATATATGAAACAATTTAGCATAATTTATACAGTAATCTGATTTGTAATGCATGTATTTCCTAAATTCAATTGAAAATATTTCATACGGAATAATCTGTTCAAACTGCATTCTAAAAGGTTTCTTTTCTTCCAGCACATGTGGTGAAACTTTAACCATGTTGTTCTATCTTGATCTTTGGAAAAGCTTTACCTTGTTCTATAAAATCAAATTAGCCCTCCACTTTATTGTTTCACCACAAGGTTGGTTCTGATTACCACATGACCTTTAATTCTGTGTGCAGTCACTTGCTTATGGCAGGTCATCATCGGGATCAGCATCTATGCAATAATATGTTTTCTTTTTTTTTTTAAATGATTAAGTGTTCAATAAAGGCCTAAACCTGAAATAATTATAATGTGGTATGATTTATTGGGCAGATACTGCGTGGTACTTTTTGCTGGCATTGCAGCTGAAGCTCTAGTATATGGTGAAGCCGAGGGTGGGGAGAATGATGAGAACTTGTTTAGAAGCATCTGTGTACTTCTGGAACCCCCTCCCTCTTTAGCACAGGTACTATTTTGGCACTGGTAGTGTTCAATTTTTTATGATATTGTTCTCTAGATATAATAATGACCGAGTTTTGCGTTACTTTTGAGAAGATGTCAAATCAAGCAAGATGGTCAGTGCTACAGTCTTACAATCTGCTTAAATGGCATAGACGTGCTCATGGAGCTGCTTTCAAAGCTATGGAAAGTGGCGGCAGTCTTAGTGTCGTAATTAGGAAAATTGAAGAAGTCATGTCTTCCAGCAGATGAAGTATGAAAGTTGCAAGTTTACTGGTCACATTCTCATAAGAGGTAATGATCCTGTATTGTCCGTTTTTTTGTTGGCCATCAGTTTGAGTAATATGAATACATGGGATATCTCTTTCTTTGCCAGGGCGAACGGAAACTGGAGTTTGTCAATAAAATACATGAAGCAATACTAACCACGGTCCTTGCTTTGTAATTATGGCTGGTTCTTCCTTGTTAATGGTGTTGGTTTTGAAACAACTTGATGAAGTAAAGAGTTGTGGAATGAATCACAGATAGACACCAATCCTCATCAATCCACCAAGGTATGGCAAACCAGCAAATCAACATCCATCCGTTTCAATAACCTGCTCACAAATCCTCATCTACTCTCACGCCAGAACCTAAATCCCAAGGAAAGCAACTAACAGATAGACATGGAGCCTGAAGAAAAAATCAACCTTTCAAGGAACCCCTTCACGTACTGTGCGACAAAATGAAACACCAGAAGAACCTAACCTTGTTACCGGTTCAAGATTAGCCTAAGACCCCAGCCCAAACCTCAGCTAATTCGTGTGACAAAATACACTGGAACCTATGAAGCCGAAAGCCATTAGAGGGCTTTGTGCTGAACGAAATCGTCGATAATATTTTCTTCGTTATCTTCAAAGCGAAGAACTACCAAATTCAATGGCTTTTTTTGCTTCTCGAATAAGAATTTTTTTCCTATTATGGAGTTTGGATTCTGAGAGAGATGCCTCATAAATTTCACTCTTGCTCACACCTTTGCCTTTTTGCATGCACTGTTCCATTCATTTTTGCATTGGCAGCCTTGCCATTTTGCTTTTCAAGGTTTCGTCTGTGCCAGAGTGTGAGCCAAAACCAGTTTAATATACTGAAAAAACACCGACTTCTTCACTCTTTATCTTCTTAGTCTATAAATATTGTCATCAAAATTAAAGGAAAGAAAGTAAGATGATGCACCCATTGTGGAACTTATGCTTACACGACATCTCTCTCTTCAGTTCTATTTTTAATGTGTACCCATTGTGATTTTTGGGTGTGACGTTTGCCTAACAATGTAGTTTTAGTTTTGGGATAATATTCTTTCTTGTGGAAATGAAATGTAGAGGGGGGAAGGCACAAGTAATAGGTCTCACCTTTGCTGACCTTTTCCACTTGGCCTTTTGTGCCTATTGACTTAATTGCACCAATCAAAGTGTCCCCTCCCACTTTGTTATCTTCTCTCCATCACTTTATGATTAAAACCCCAACTTCAAGATCAAGGTATACAAGTCATATCCACCAAATCTTAATCCTTTTCTATACTTTGTGTACAAACATCCAACTCTTCAACTTTTTTTCTTCTTACACATATCCAACCCTTTTACGACGAAATTTCTAAAATTATCGATATTCATTAATATCTTGTTAATTTAAATGATAAAAAAATTATATATTTTAGATATGATTCGAAGTTTAAACTTTGAAATTAAAAAAAAAAATCATACAAAATTTATCGTCTATATTAAATTTTGATTTGACTATAACTTTAAACTTAGTCAATATTTAAAAATCAAGTTTAGGCAAAATTTAGACACACAACAATCTCATAATATTAGCCGTAAGAATGAAAGATTGTCACGACATAACAAAATTCCTTGCTAATTGTCAAAGTATTTTAGCCCATTCTTTGATGGCAACAGTCGGCAATGCTTTGATTGCTTCCTTTTGTGCCGGTGGTCGGTGGGTTCATATCGGTTCAGATCATTCTCATATATAAAATGTAAAATAGTTTTCATCAATTTGTTATTTCTGAAATTTCAGTATGGGAAACGAATTTTTTTTCAAATACTAATGAGTATTTATGTAGTTTACTCTTTTTAATTTTATATCGTCGTAATCCGTTTAAAGTATAACAACAATTAACTTTCAGTAATCACACCTTAATAAAATAAAAATGAAAAGTGACCAAATATTACGTTTTTTGAATTCAATGATAAAAAATGCACAAAACTTAAATGAAAATGATCAATATTGTAGTTTACTTATGAAATTATCTAATCTACACGTCACTGTTTTATTGGAGTGACACACATAGTTAGGGGTGTTCATTTGGTTAATTCGATCACCGACCTAACCGAATAACCATTAACATAATTAATCGAACTTTTTTCTCTTTAACTCATTAAACAAACCGAATTTTTTTAAAAAATATTTTAACCGAATCAAACTAAATTATGTTAATTTCTTCGGTTAACCGAATTAACCAAAATTTATAAATAATATAGATTATATATTAAATATTTAATATTTCCTGTTAATTTGGTTAAAACCGAAGTTTAAACACTCCTAAAACTAAATAATATATAAATAATATATATAATATATTAAATATTTAATAATTTCGGTTAATTAATAGATTTCGAACCGAATTAACCAATAACTGAAGTTTAAAAAAAATCATTAGAGTTAACTGACTGAATCCAAAATTAACTAACCAATTGACCAAAAAAATTTTGGTTCGATTGAGTAATTCGATTTTAACCGAATTGTTAACATCTCTGCACTATAGAATAATAATGTTTTAGGTATTTTTTTATCCGATAACGCTTTATTTTAGCCTTATATTAAGGTGACGCATTGTAGAAGCGATAAAAAGGACAGAATTTTTGTTCTGACCAGTGAGATTGGAATTAGACTTCTGAAAATGATGGATCGTCCTTGAAAAGTGAAAAAAGGACTATCATAATATAGTTTATCAGGTGGCGTGCCTGCTCGGCGTAGGGACGTGTTTTGGGAACCTATTGTAAAATAGTTTATCAGGAAGAACAGAGCCTTATTGTGACGTAGGACGGAAATTCTATTTGATGCTACATCCAGTTTGTCATAAATATTTGATTTTATTTGTACTTTGTATTTAAAATTCTGAGGAAAAAAAATAAGAACAAAGACAAAATGATGTACCCATTGTCCTCCATGTTTATGTGTCATCTGGGATCTAACGTAGAAATAGTAACCTCATTCTTAGTGAATCGATCTGAATTATGATCCAACAATGACGATGACGATGATGCCTCCGGCTGCACCGTACTGGCAGGGATTATAAAAGCAGGGGTTGACGGCACCGGCATCGACACAGAAGCATCGCTAAGCATAAGAACAACCGAGTGCATGGATGGTCTATTTGCATCATTTTCTTGAACACACAGCAAGCCGATATGAATGCTTCTCGTCATTTCGTTTCTCGATCCAGTACCCCTCGAAAACTCATCCACTAGGTTTAAACTCGTCCCTTCCCTCCAATTTCTCCAGGCCTGCAAATTGAGGAATGATCAGCAACAACATATGTGTGTAGCGGTAAGGAATTAAATGCTAATTTTTTAACTTACATAGGTAAGAAGATCGACCCCATTGTTACGGAAATGACTGATTTTGTCGCCACTAATGATTTCCAAAATCAATACACCAAAACTGTAAACATCGGATTTAACCGAGAACTTCCCATGTTTTATGTATTCTGGAGCCATGTATCCACTGTATGCAATAAACAGGTTAACCAATTTCAAAAGGAATGTCAAATTCTTTTCTGGGATTCTAACAATGAACTTACAATGTCCCTGCAACTCTTCTTGTATCATCTCTAGTTTGGTCAGCTCCGAACAACCTCGCCATTCCGAAATCTGAGATTTTCGGAGCCATTTCTTTGTCTAATAGAATGTTCGCAGCCTTCAGATCACGATGAACTATTCGGTACCGAGAATCTTCGTGAAGGTAAAGTAGGCCTCGAGCTATTTCTGTTATGATTTTGTATCTTGTGTCCCAATCCAATCTTTGACGTTCGATCGGGTCTACGAGTTCATGACATAATATGAACAAAGATTACAAATTGAGATGCATTGATTAATGTGCAAGTACTGAAATGAAATTGCAGAAAATATTACCAAATAGAAACTGGTCGAGGCTTGAGTTAGGCACAAACTCGAATATAAGAAGCTTTTCTTTTCTTTCCAAGCAAAACCCTTTAAGCCTAACCAAGTTCCTATGTTGAAGCCTTGCCATTACCATAACTTCATTCTTGAATTCCTCGTCTCCATGTCCGGATTCATGAAATAATCTCTTTACAGCTATCTCTTGTCCGTCATCGAGCCTACCCTGTAATAATTTTAACAGAATATGAACACCAAAACAGATAATATGCCATGTTTCAACCTGTCATGACCAAACATTTTCTTTGAAAATGTGTTATAATATATATAGAGATGTACCTTATAAACAGCACCAAATCCACCTTGGCCAAGCATGTTGTCCTGGGAGAAATTGTTTGTAGCCTTTGTTACAGATTTCAATTGAAATTGCAGTGATTCCAATGATTCCAAGCCATCTTTGGTGTCTGCAGTTTAACAGTAACGTTAAATATCAATCCATATTTGAATTAATACTGTGAAAAGAAAATTCAGTTAGCACTATGAAAATGACTTACTATTCATCTCTTGCTTTGCCTTCTTCCTTTTTCTTAGAAGGATGCAAATGAAGGCAACTATTGCTACGAAAATCAAGATCGGCACGATGATTATCGCGACAGTTCCGGATGAAATACCTTTCTTATTGTCTGCACAAGCAAGAAAATTGTTCAGAAACATTATAATGCAATATGAAAGTGATTACACCTAAAGGCCATGCCCTTAAGACTTAACCTTTTATCGTTTCTGATGTTTTATTAGTTGAATCTGCAGGTGAATCACTAGGTGGAGGCGAAAGCGATATCCGGACGGTGTCGGCAGTAGGTATAAAGAACGTATACAGATCCCACCGCATACGACAACTCGGTGTTTCGACGTAACCTCCTTGATAATAACGGCAACACACCGTGTACCGACGAACCAATGTCCTTAAGCAAGTTAAGCAATCACTCTGGGACAAATCTGGAGGGCACTGCATTAGTGCTTGAATTTCCTCAGCCACACCAGTTGCATACTTAAGCCTCGACGACCCCATGGAAGCTTTTGTTGCGACTGCCTCTATTAATTCCCCCCACATCTGGTAAAACAGTGTTAAATTCGATGCGGCATCACTAATGTCATCGGAGTTAATTGCTTCCTGTATAGGTTCCAACGCCAATACCCCGAAGAAAGGCTCGTTCGAATATCGAACTAAACACGGAATATTGCCATCCCACGAGAATGCAGCCTTCTGATTCTTACAGCTTGATATCAACTGATGAGCAGTGAAATTGACATAGGTGAAACAATCTTCTTCATCTAAGTCCCCTCTGCAAAGTGCTTGAGCATAAACTCTGTCCGGTCCTTGGCCAATGGAAGCGTTGAAGAAACCGCCATTTCGGGAGACATTAGTAGGAAGCAAAGTGAGGATGTTATCACGGTTTCGACCAAATCCACTGTTAGTGGTGAAGTTACCGGTGTCCAAGCAGGTTTGTGCAACCGTTAGACGAATGC